CACTAGATTCGCAACACAATGAACTTAAAACATTCAATGACCCTCAAAATTGTTCTTAACCAGACTAAACAATTAACAGATTTTGGACAGCAAGTTTACACTTAAACAAAAATTACCAATTTATCATTAATAATGTAACTTTAGCAGAAAACATAGAGTCATAGAGCTGTACAGCATGGAAACAGACCCTTCAGTCCAACACATCCATGCTGACCCTAAATTAATCTAGTCCCATTTGCCAGCTTTTGACCCATATCCCTCTAAACCCTTCATATTTATGTACATGTCCCGAAGTCTTTTAAATGTTGTAACTGTACCCACCTTCACCACTTCCTCTGACAGCTCGTTCCATACAGTCACCACCCTCTGCATGAAAAAGTTATCCCTCAGGTCTCTTTTAAATCTTTCCCCTCTCACCTTAAACCTTGGACTCCCCTACCCTAGAAAAAAGACCTTCGCTAATCACCCTATCCATGCCCTTCATGATTTTATAAACATCAACAAGGTTGCCCCTCAGCCTTGGACACTCCAGGGAAAACAACCCAGCCTACTCAGCCTCTCACTATAGGTCAAACCCTCGAATCCCAGCAACATCCTTGTATATCTTTTCTGAAGCCTTTCAAGTTTAACAACATCCTTCCTATATAGCAGGAAGATCAGAATTGGACACAATATTCTAAAAGTGGCCAGATGAACAACAAGGCATTTGAATCAACATCTACAATCTAAGTCCAATCTTCTTCGATCACAAACCTCCACTCTCACACTGACAGTCACACACAGTTAAGGGATAAATTTACAAAAAAAGCATTGTTAAGTTGTCTGTTTGATAAACATTTCAATGGTGAATATCAGGCCTTCATGAAATCCTTACGTGTTGGGTTGTTTTATGGACACATAGAATTGTGTCTCTGGCTTGAGTTGCAAAGTCACTGGTCAATGCAAACAGCTTCCACAGATTTCAAACAGCTTCAAAACCGGAAATGACAGTACTCACCATAACGGATCGGACAGTATAAATTCCAAGCGGAGTAGAATAACATCGCTTCATCAGAGGCTCCGCTGATGATGTCACCTAGCATGGTGATGAAACGTCTGAATAAAAACAAGGCAGCTCGGCGAACAAGTCAACAACCTCAGCTTCCACAGATCTCTGGAGCATTTTACTTACTTCTTGCAACTGAAATTCTTTTCTCAGAATTTTCAACAAGTTGATAACTGCAGAATAACTCAATACAGCAAAACCAACAAACAGCTTCCTAGTCTGGTAACTTCTAAAGCAAAACTGCTTCCTCCCCAAACTCCACTCAGAACTCGTTCACTCTTTCATTTTACTTGTTCAACATTCTCTGTGGTTGGCTAGCCAGCACCGGTCCTCCCTTGATTGACCAATTCAGTGTCCAATCAGCTGCCAGTCCCTGCGCATAACAGTGTCTTGGTACTGCTCCATCTGTAGTGTTCTTTCAGCAGTAATTAACTGGCATTATCTTTCCAGGCCAGTTCCCAACAGCAAACTTTAGTCCTTTGATCTCTTCCCAAAAATGAGAAAACTTAAAGAAAAATAGTGATGGTCTCCACACATGAAACTTGCAAAACTGACACCTAGCAACATTCAGCTCCATCATCCAGAGCTGCTGCAATTTCCATCCTGCACACTTGCCCTACACTATCTGATCTGTTTTCTGCTTTTCATGAATACTTTGAATACCTATGTACTGGTTTGTTTAGTTATTGTAATCAGTCATTGGTTAGTGATTGCTGGGGGTGGAGGAGAGGAGGTTATTCCAGGTTTTTATAGTATTTGGTATGAAATTATTGTAAAGACTAACTTTTTAGTTTACTTGTGATTGTGGACTGAACAGGAAAAAGACTCTTTTTTTTAAAAACAGTGGACTGAGGAAGGAATGGCTGTACTTTTAAGGCAAGTTACTGAAAGCCATTGCAAGTCATGTTTGTACTGTTACTTTGCAAGTAGTGGGGGAAGGTGTTAAGAGGAGATGGCATGGCTCCAGACTGTATATACAAAGTGAGATTCAGCTGGCAACAGGTTGCTGATTGTTTTGTGAAGCTGTGACCAGTTGTGGGTGACAAAGGCCACCAGCCTGATGCCAATTATCTTAGATTGGCTTAGAATCATAAAGTACAGAAGAGACCTTTCAGCCCGTCGAGTCTATACTGCTTATGGGTAGATGAACGACTTGAGGGTGCGAGTGATACCGGCAGAAGGTTTCAGACTGCTGAAAGACAAATTAGCATCTCTCTCCAGTAAAATACCTGAAGTCTGAAGAAAGCCGGTTCACTTTCGCCCACGAGTTGCCATAAGCTCATGTTTTCAAACCAGTAAGTCAGAGACTTTAAAATTTGTGAACCAATCACTCTGTGTCTCTTGTGAGGAACTGAAGGTTTTGGGAAACCTTTTCCCTCCACTCATAACACCAATTTTGTTTTGTCCACCTGGGTCTATCTATAATCGTGTATAGGGTATTTTAGAAGGCATTTAGAGTTTTAACTACCAGAGTTGTATATTGACAGTTCAGAGTTGTTTACCTGTGTTAGAATCTATGTATTTGTAATAAATAGTAGCTCCTGGATAAATCCTGGTCCGTATTTACTGTCAACCTGGATGTATCCTACAGGTAAATTGGGTACCTTGTATACTTGGATAAAATTGTTAATTGATGACTCTGGGAATAGCAGGGCTTGATGTTTTTAAATTCACGGAATGAGGGCATTCTTGGGGCGGTCAGCACTTATTGCCCAATCCCAGTTGCCCAGAGGATAGTTATGAGTGCAGTGGGTCTGGAGTAACATGTAAGTCAGGATGGCAGTTTCCTTTCCTAAAGGACATTAGTGAACCAGATGGGTTTTTCCAACAGTCGTCAATGGATTTGTGGTCATCGTTAGACTTCTTAATTCCAGATTATTTCATTGAATTCAAATTCCACCGTTTGTCATGGGGGGATTTGGACCTGGGCCTCTGGATTAACAGTCCAGCGATAATACCACTAGGTTATCACCTTCCCAGTGTATATATCCCCTGAGTGAGGCATGGCACTGTTTGGGTATGCTTGGGTGCAATATTGAAGAGACACAAACCAGATGGTGTTTCTCTTCCTGCAGCGGACTGTCTATTTAACAGAAGGTGGGATATCAAAAGTAACATCATGGTGAGCCACACTGAAAATTTATATAATCCTACTCAGTTATTTTTGATATTGCAGTGTCAGCCACACCAGGAAGTTCCCTTTTTCTGCCACATTTCTACCCACTGTAAAATTTCATCTCGTATCCAGTAACAGGTTGATATTATGCTGGAGATTTTGGCGAAACGTAAAATTGGTGCTATCCTAAAGTCTAGTATCTGTATATCCATTTGTGCCTTCGGCTGCTATCAAAGTCGTGCATGACCTCTTCCAGAGTACAGAAGTTGCTTTTGCAGGAGTGTGTTTTCAGGAATCCATGCTGACATATTTTCAGGATGTTACGTTCTTCAACGTGGCTCATGATATGGAGGGAGATTAAACTGTCTCGTACTTCACAGGAACCTGAAGTGAGTGGGATATGTATATAATTAGCAGAAGGTTGCCTTTTATAAAGATAGGACAGATGTTAATGTAAAGGCTTAATACACAAATATGTAGATAGTAAGCTACATCAGTCAGTACATAAGAGATGACATGATGGAGAGACTTTGAAGAGCAAAACTACTGTGCTAAGTCTAATCTTCACAAGACCTTAGACTCAAGCAATTTCTCTTAGCCTTACTAAGCTTCCAAGCCCTTCCAAGACTACCACTACAATAACCGAGTTAGAAGTAAACCAATCTGTTGGTAACCACCACACCTCACCCTCCATGTCCTTTACTGATAGGTTGTATAGTCCAGTATTTGTGGCTGCTAATCCCTCAGCACACCCTTTCATTATGCATACTGATGTTTTATCAGGTCTCCATGATCTAACCCCTTTGGGAATTTTAGTAATCTAGTAATATCTCTGTCAAAGGTTGCCCTGGTTGTGGGGGATTGTGGAAGGGGGTGGGGGGGAAGGAGGTGGGAAAAGATGTAGCAGATTGTTGATGTAACTATGGTTAGATCATACTAGGTGTTTATTCAGGGTTTTTGCATTCCTGAAACTATCATATGAGTCTTTGTTTGCAATGGGACTGTTCCAAAACAATCTATAGTGCATAACAAAGAACTAGAATCTTTTGGGGTTGTGATGTTCGGTATTTATTATGTCTTGGATGTGTACATTTTGAGTCTTGTCCAGATTCCATTCAATATTGTTTTGAAGCTTGTGGCAAGCTTTTCAGTCTTTAGCTTCCCTCTTTGTTTAATCGGATCAATTGTAGCCTCTTGCATTTTCTAATATATCTCAGAATGCTGGAACTTAATTGAATACATTTCTTGCTCCTCTCTATGTGGCAGGTGACCTGTGTTACTCAACTTACAGACGTTCCAGCTTGCAGTAAAATGTGCAACTCTGCGATGTATATTCACATTACAATTAGTTCCTAGCTCTTTACAAATAATAACACCCTGTTTTACTTGGATTGTAGGATTTGACAGTATTTATAGAGGTCTTTCATAGGGTGTCCAGATCACATCTTCAATGGCTTTGGATCTCCCTTGCTTGTAGGAGTTCACTTGGCCTTTTTAAAATTGACCATAACGTGTTTTTTTTTGGTATGACTGCTGGGTGTTCAGTCATGCCAGGTTTGGATCATTTCAGTACTTTTAACAGAAGCTGGTTAGGATGTGAAATGCCTGGACTCAAGGGTGTGGGTACTTGAGCATGTTGCCTGTTGTAAAAATATGGCTGCAAGGTGATAATAAATCTCACACAATCCAGTTGTTCCATTGCCAACGATTGCAAGTAAGGCAGGGGTTCAGTTTCAGTGGGGCATGATCATGTTGATGGTGGAGCCAATGCTGGCATAGCCTGAGCGGCAGGAACAGTTCGGGCCGGAACCAAGCGTCAGGTGTTCCTATGAAGTTGGGTTAGGGGAGACGTTTAGAAGCGGTGCACCATGGCCAGTTTGGTTCTGAAGAACCGCCGGGCGACTCTGGAAAGAGCCGAGAAATTCGTCTCCGCCGAATATTTCACTGACATTAACCTGCGGGGCCGGTGAGTGAACAGAGCCGCCCGCCAGGGGCCGAGGGTCCGACAAACTGGACCGGGACGGGAACAAATGAAAGGACCGAATCCACCATCAGGTCAACCCCTCCCCCCCCAAAAAATACACGAAGCAGACAGTCAGGCGCAACTTCCTTAAAGACACACACACACCCCCCCAGACCCACCCACCACACACCCCACCCCCA